TATATATATATATATTTAATGGATTTTAGTTTTAATGTTGATGTACTATCTAATTTGTCTCACATAAATGTTTGATGGGATATTAATTAATTATTAAATATTTAATAATTTATAAATATATTAGTAAAATATTGAGTAGTTTTATATTAAATAATTTGATTTGTAAAAATAATGTCATGTCAAACATAAAAAACTTACGTGGCACAAATTATCTGAATTAGCACAAATTGTTCAATTTTTTTTTTGCTACATAGGTTGTGAAAAAGAAAAAAAGAAAAGAAGAATAAAAAGAATCCAAGAAACCAACTAAATCCGTAAATGGATCAATCAGTAGCATCAGCTAGCAACAAGGAGTTAAGAAAATCAGCCCCAACTACTAAAATCATAAGGCCCTCACGAGATGTCTTATTTTACCAATAAAGTATTCGTACACATGTTACCCTCTTGAAAAATATGTGATAACACATGAATTAGAGGATTTAAAATTGTAATTAATTTATAATTAATATTTTATTTTGTATATACGTATGTTTGTTATATATAATATAATTAAAAACTTATAATAAATTGTATATAAAAAATATAATATTTAAATATATAAATTATATTTAAAATAAGTATACATAAATATTCTTAATATATAAACTATATTTTAGATTTATCATAAATGATTTATATTGTAAAAAAATATTTTTTTATCGATAATTTATTTTAAAATATTAAAATATAATTAATAAATAATTATGATAAATAAGAACTAAATTATATGGACTTTTTTTTAATATATTGTTTTTTTTAATTATTAAAATAACTTGGCCCATTTTTATTTATCAAAATAACCCGTTTTTGAGGCTTAAGTGAGAAATCGATTACTAGATAACGATTTCTCAAAAGAATTTTTAAATTTTTTTTTAAAATCATCTTGAAGTAACCGATTTCTCAATTGGGCAATTTTTTTTGTTTCTTTTGTTTTTTGGGCTTTTTTTGTTCAGATTTTTTTTAAAAATTCATTTTTCATTTTTTGATTTTAGATTTTTAAAAAAAGTATAATTAATTGTAAAAAAAAATATATTTAATATTTA